AAAAAAAAAAAAAAAAAAAGAAGACGCAAAGGTAACTCAATAGAAAATGGACAGTCTTTTCAACAAATGGCGCTGGAGCAAATGGGCATACTCATGCAAGAAAAATAATAGAGACACAGACATCATACCTTTAGCATACAATGATTCAGAAATGGCCCAGAAAAGCCAGGCGTGGTGGTATCTTTCATCCCAGCATTCGGCAGGCAGAGGCAGGTGAATCTACATGAATTGAGGCCAGCCTGCTCTATAGAGTGAGATCCAGGACAGGCTCCAAAACTACAAAGAGAAACCCTGTCTCGAACAAAACAAAACAAAAAACAAACAAACAAACAAAAAACCCACAGATAAACAAAACAAACAACCAGAGGTGTAACTGTACAGTGTAAAAATAAAGAACTACAAAGCCACATAGAATGTTTAGGTGACTATGGGTGAGTGTATAAAACACCTGCAGAAGTTAAGGAAAGAAGGGGTTTCTTTTGCCTCCTAGCTTGAAAATTCAGTAAGTTGCAGAAGGAGATATCTAGTCACATTGCCCGGCCGGCTTCCCGAGAGTGTCGTTACTGTCCTCATCGCTTGGCAATGGAAGGAAGGGCTGACTTGGGCTCTCAGCATGAGGCGATGGTGCAGCTAGCTCATTGAGAGGGAAGCAGGGACATGAAGAACAGCCGAGGCTGCGTGACTGTGTGGCTGTGGTCACACTGCATCCGCATCCGTCAGGGAAGAGAGATGCACCCCTGCAAACCCCCTCCCTTTTCCAGCCCACGGCATGGCACCACCCACACTCAAGACAGGTCTTCCCTCCGGTGTTAAAACCTTTCAGGAAACACTCTAGATGTGTTTCCCACGTGACTCTGAACCCATTCATATTGACAGTGAAGATTAACCATTGCAGAATGTTAAACTAATCACATAGTAATAAGTTCTTCTTGTTTTGTTTTGTTTTTGGAGACAGGGTTTCTCTGTGTAGTTTTGGTGCCTGTCCTAGATCTCGATCTGTAGACCAGGCTGGCCTCGAACTCACAGAGATCCACCTGCCTCTGGCCTGCAAGTGCTGGGATAGGTTCTTTACTGCTTTCAAAAAATAAAATAAAATTGTATAACCTACTCAGGAGCAAAGGCTGGGCTTCTTTCCAATGTCCTCAGCCCCTCGGGGGAGGAGGGGGCTGCTGAGGCAGTGTGCCGTGGGGTATGACGGGTGCAGGTCACAAAAATGACTGAAGATCTAGCCCTTACGCTCCCTGCTCTCCGAGGTAATCGGAAGAGTTCCTTCCTCGCCCTCATTATTTATTATTCTTGCTTAGTACACAAGCAAATTTGGTGGAGGGAGAAAAGAACAGAAAACAAAGCTTCATTATCCTTGTCTGTAGAATGCTGGCATTGTGAGACTCAGCGACTTCTAGGTGCCCTCCGACTTGAGGAATCTCTGTGTGCGTGAAAGAAGTCCAAGTTTCCAGTTGTGGGTTTCAAAGATGGGGCGAGAGCAGCTCCAATCATCCCGCGGGTTCTTCCAGGATGCGGGTTGGGACCATTCTGATCGGAAAAAGAAGACGAGCTTTTATTTCCAATTTGCAATTGAAAAAAATAAATATAGTAAATAAAATCACACTGTAGGCTAGAAGGCATGGTCTTTAATTTCTGGAGTGTTCTCTGCATTTCAGGCAGTGATGACACACTAAAACTAACTGATGTTTTCACCTCCAGCCCCTCTGGGTCCTCTCTCCTCTGTCCCCTGTGTCAGGCTGGATGGCCTGCGTCTCATTTCCCACGGCCCCCGTTTGTGTATCTGATTGTCTGCTTGCTGGGTGGCGACTGAATGAATGCAGGACCTCACACATATAAGAGCTCAGCCCTTGACACTCCCCCATCTCACCCCACCCCATCTCTACAAATCTTTAGATCTTCTTCACGCTTTCTGTGTCCTTTCTTCCTCTCTCAGTATCCATCTCTCTGTTTTCTTGTCCCTGTTCTGGTTCCTGCTCCATGGCAATGACCTAGATACAGAGGTTTGACTCTCAGCTCACAGTTATTTTAATGGCTAAATAGATTTTTAAAGTGTTCTCCACCTAGGGCTGTTGCTGAGGGATGTGAGGGAGTAGACGGTGAAAAGAGCAGACTGATGGAGAACCTTTTTCAGGAGGTGGGGATTGAGACAGGGTCTTTCTGTGTAGTCCTGGCTGTCCCGGAGTTCACTATGAACTAGGCTGGCCTCAAATGCACAGGGATCCACCTTCCTCTGCCTCCCAAGTGCTGGGATTAACCATGTGTATCACCACATCCTGCTCAGTTGAAGAAGAATCTTAATACCACTTCTCACTTGTCCTGGAGAACCCCTTTCCCAGAAGGAACCAAAGGAGAAACAGTTGAAACAGAAGGGGATAGACTGTCTGAGGCCAGTGGAATGTCAATAAGCCATCCAGGAATCGTTTACTATTTACTCTGGAGAGTCAGCTTCCTGGGGGTGAGAGCAGGAGTGAGCAGCAGCTGAAGAGGTTGGCTTTCCATCAAGCAGATGTCCTTTGGAATTCTTTTGCTCCTCAGAACAGTGCGACTTTCTGGGCATCTCAGAGTAAGTTGAACTGGTAAGAAATGATTCCTGATACCTTGCTGAGTGGAGCTGTAAGGATGGAATGATGTATTGTAGACTAGCTGACCCTGCTTGTAGCCAAGAGTTTAAGTCCTTCCTCCTCCTTTTATGACAGCCCCGACCTGTACCTTGTTCTCATTTGTTGTAAGGTTATTTCAAGCCTAGTACATGTGGACTTGTAACAAGTAGCCTTGGGGTTTGTGGGGTCTGTCTGGCCCCAATCTCTGCCTATTCCCTTCTCTTCCCACCACCTCCGTTCATGGTTGGCCTTGGCTTCTAAGCTTTGGGAAGGTCCTCCACTGTCTCCCAAACACCCCTAGGTTCCCTCACCCACATCTTATACTCCTTCATCCTGAATTCTCAGATCCTGGCTTCGATCTGCCTATCAAGTCAACAGCCACATGAAACATGGCTCCTCCATTCCATGGTGATGGGTTCAGAACCTGTTTCTCCCTCATCTGATTTCATCTTTTTTTTTTCTGAGACAGGGTTTCTCTGTGCAGCTTTGGAGCCTATCCTGGAACTCTCTTTTTAGACCAGGCTGGCCTTGAACTCACAGAGATCCACCTGACTCTGCCTCCTGAGTGCTGGGACCGCCCGGCTGCTTTCATCTTCTTATCTTTGATCTGACCTTCTATGAGGAACTCTAGAGTAAGTCACACCAAGCTGACCTTTGTGGCTGTTCTTGTGGAATTGTCATATGTCTTTATATCCCTCACATTGTTGTACAGCTTTGAATAAATAATAGTTACATTTGTGAGTCTGCTCTGTGTATGCCAGACAGTGGGCTATGCCCTTTATATGAATTCCCTCATGAAATGCATGATGACTCTGGGTACCATATGAAGAAGCTAAGGCTCAGGATGGGCTCCTTTTCCAAAGTCAGGTATCCATAATGTGACGGGAACCAGGATTCAAATTCAGAGATAGGTGGCTCTATGCTCTAAATCAAATAAAACAGAGAATAAATTAAACAAAAAGCAAAATAGCTAAAAATCAAGCACTGAGGATATCTGAAACCTCAGGTGGGTAAGGTTTTTATCGATGTTGACGGCGGACTAGCAGTCAGAAGTAGGCAGGTCGGAGAAAGCAAACATTTAAATACAAGCCCAACTAAATGCTGCAGAAAACTCTTGCTGCCACTAGGGGGCTCCCTCCACCTTAGGCAAAAGGTGATCAGAGGATCTTGCTCTGAGCTAGCTGGGTGATTAACTACATCTTCCAGAGGCGCAAAGCATTTTGCAAAAATTTCCCTGGACAGCTGGGGAAACCATAGGCAGGGCCCTAAGGTGGAGCAATTTTCACAGACACATCCCAGGCTCTCTAGGGTTAGGGGTGTTTTGAGGATGGCCCTAAGCTTGACTGGAGGTTCCTTGCCCAAGTTCACTACCAGGAAAACACAGGACAGAGAGAAGGCAGAAAAAAAAAAATTTTTTTTTCCCTCTCAGAATTGGAGACCAAATAGAGCAAGCTGGCATCCCCTAGATTAGCGGTTCTCAATCTGGGGGGGGGGGTGTCAAATGAAGACCATTGGAAAACACAGATATTTACATTATGATTCATAACAGTAGCAAAATTATACACATGAAGTAGCAACAAAACAATTTTATGGTTGGGGGTCACCACAACACGAGGAACTGTATTAAAGGGTCGCAGCGTTAGGAAGGTTGAGAACCACTGCCCTAGATGCAAACCGTGTGGCCCTAAACTCATCCAGAATGTATCGCCCAGTGGGGAACCCCCCCCTCACACACACACACTTTGGAGGACTGGGGTTTCACAGCTGGTGTACATTTTGTTAAAATTCAGTGGATCCCGCCCCCTCCAACCGAAGTTATAAAAGCACGGTTTTCTTTGAAAACATGCCTGTAGGGAAAAACACCTCAGGAAAGCAGCCGCGGGATTCACACCCACATCCCCACCCGCGGAACCAAGGGAAGCCCTGGAAGGAATCCTCTTCTTCAACAGCGGATGGAGATCCCCAGGAATCCAGGGTAGGGGTGAGGGGCAGGGTTGGTGTTGCGTTTCAACACGGCTTTGCAACACCTTTAGGGTGACATCGATTGAAAAGAGGCAAATTCTGAAGCCATGTTTAAGCTGTCACCACAGCTTCAGACCGAGCTCGGGGAAAGCCTTGGGCGTTAGGTTAGTTCAGGGAAAGGGAGGGGCTCCTTGGTTAAATCAAGTGTGTACAAATGTGAAACTGAGCCAGGTGCGGTGGCGTACATCTGTAATCCCCGCACTCGAGAGACAGAGGCAGGAGGATCACTGCAGGTTCCAGGCTAGCGGGAGCTGCAGAACAAGACCGTTAAAACAGCCAGGAAATAAAACAAGAATAGGTGACTCCGATTGTGAACTGAGCTTAACACACGCGCGCGCGCGAACAAACACACACACACATTCACACACACACACACACACATACACACACACAAGTACGCACGCACACTCCAGCAATTTCACTATCTTTTAAAGGAGATGCCAAAAATAGGGTAGGCATCTTGAACCTGGTCGCTGCCCTGGACAAAACTGCAGTCACCCAAAGCGCGCAGATGCGAACCGAGGCGACCCAGAGTGGCCGTTCCCGTGGTCTAAGAGAACAGTTTTCCTGGGCCGACCTCCCTCGCCTTCTCCAGCCTGCCATCCCGCCAGCGTCAGACTCGGTGGGGCGCTGACCCGGTGGAGCAAGTGGGGACCCGCAGCCTCGGAGAGCCGCCGCCGCCGCATTGTTTCAGCCCCTCGGGTGGGGTCTTGCAGGGGGAGGGGAGGCGATGTGTCCTCGGGAGCCGCCCCATACCCTCCCAGGGGACCCGTACAGCTGCGCGCCTCGGCGCCGGGGCTTTGTGAAGTGTCGCTAGTTACCATGGGACCCGAAAGGAACGCGGAGAATGGCGCTTAGAGGGCAGGGGGCTGCAGAGGTTCTGGGGCCGTGCCCTCTGTCCCCTCTCGGACCCCCGGCCCTGCAACAGGGACTGTCGGGATTTGTAGTCCCAAAGGCGGCGGCCGCGAGAAGGATGCGGGGCGCTGCTGGTCCCGCCTCCCCCTAACCTGCTGGCGCGAGGTGGCTAGCGCTGGGGCGGAGCCCTCGGATCCGTGATTGGCCCAGGCGGCTCCCAGCCCCCACCCTCGTCCCCACCCCCGCTCGCCACTCGGGACTCCAGCTCCAGGCGCGCAAGGCGGCCACCGAGCGAGCGCGCTAGCAGCCGCTCCCGCCCCGTGCATCCGCAGCTACCGCGCCGCGGCGAGACCCAGAGACCGACCGACGGACCCGCACAGTCGCAGCATCCTGGAGGAGTGGGTGATGGCGAGGGGAGGGTGGTGGGCTTAACCTTCCCGGGGCCGGAGCATCCGTCCCGCTCTCTCCGTGTCGCCAAGAAGCGCACAAAAGGGAGGGAATTGGGATGCGCCTAGGCTCCCCGGGCCGCGGAGAGAGATGTTGAGGGCTGGGGCAGCCATCCCGACTAAGGTGGGGCGCCAGTCGGGTTCTTTGTACGCCCACCGAGCTCGGCTTGGTGCCTTGCGGCGCCTTAAGGCGTTTAATGTGCGCTGGAGAGATTTACAAATAACTAGAGTGAGGAGGCGGCCGAGTTGAAGGGGTTCACGCCTAGCCCCCAGTAGTCGCGCTGCCGTAGCTGGTCGTCGTAGAGTAAATGGCTAAAAGGGTGGGACTACCGAGGAGCGTTTCTCGAGTGGCCGACCTGCCCTCCGGTATTTCCCTGGATCGCCACTGTCCCTGGTTCCCACCCACCGCCTAGATGCTCGTCCTTGGTTCCTTTTGCCTCCGGGTTGAGGTCTGCCCAACCTGGACCAAACCCGGACCGTCTGTGTCTTCTGTCCCGCGGCAGAGCGGAGGCCTTCGAGGCACCTGCGGGAACCACAAAGGCCTCTTGCATCTGCCCAGCCCCTAGCGGCGCGGCCCTAGGTCCCTCCGCAGGAGCCCTGTCGCCAAATCTGCCACGCAGCATCGATCTTGGTGGGCGAGGGACGTCGACGCCCCGGTGGCCTGGGGGGAGCTGGCTGGAGACTTAGCCGCGAAGGGGACCAACGGGGGGCGGAGGCCTGGATTTGAGCAAAAAACAAAAAAAAACAAAACCGGGGAGCTGGGTGGGGACAGGTGATCGAATCTGAGGGAGGAGGCCGTGGCTTGGGAAAGGACTGAGGAGTGGATGGGGGGCGGGTCTGAAGCTCGGGCGCAGGTGGCGCGAGGCGAGGCTGGGCTGAAGAATGAAGAGAGGAGGAGGAGAGACGAGGGAGGGTGGAGACCTCCCGGGTTTGGGGGGAGCAGACAGGCATGGGGAGGGGACTGAGGCTGTGCAGGGGAGGGGTCCTCCTCCTGAAGGGGGGGGGTCCTCCATCGGGGGGGGGGCAGGCAGCCGAGGAGGGGCGAGTCTCCGCTCCAGCTCTGTCGCCGCACGGCCTGGGAGGCTGGCTGGGCGTGGTCCTTGGACTGGGCAAGGGAGCTCCGGTAGCGGGTCCCCGACGGGGCTGGGCTGGCTCGGCTAGGAGCTTTGTTTCTAAAGCTTGGAACAACCCATAGGGACTCGTTTAGAATTTTATGATAATCCGCAGCGCCCCCCGGCACACCCTGTTCACGCTTAGCTGAAAGGCTTTGCCCAGCGGCAGATGCTGCCCGGGAGGCGGATGCGGCGGAGCGGGGGGGCGTCTCCCGCCCCGGAGACCCTGAGAACAATAGCCTGCATAGTGTCCGCCCGTCGTCGTAGCAAGAACCACCCCCCCCCCCCCCCCCAGAATTCAAGTGCGAGGTGTTCTGGTGCAGAAAAGGCTCGGCGAGAGACCTCAGAGCACGTGCTTGTCTCTGGGGTTTGCCTTAGGGCACCTGGCACCCCTGGCAATTATGAGTGGGAGTCGCATGTTTCTCTCTGCCCCCCCAGGCTCCGAGCGCGGGGACAGCCGCCCCCCCCCCCGCCCCGGCTTCTAGGGTCGCTCGACCTGCCCGTCTCTGTCCCCCGCCGCGATTGACGAGTTTAGATAGTGGCGCGGAGCAGCAGCGTGGCAGCCGTGCTAGTCCCAGAGGCCGAAGGTCGCCGTGGTGCAAAACAGGCTTTGTCTGCCCAAACCGCCTTGAGCCCCAGTCTGGGGCCTGCTATGCTTCCTAAAGGAGCCCTCGGGGCTGGTGAGGTTTGGGGTAAATTGGGGAGAAGCCTTAGTGGTGGGGATTACGCGTCAAGGGTGCGGCTCTTGGGTTTTAGAACTTGCCGCCGGGGGACTCAAAGCTTTCTCTTGCCGGTGGCCACACCCAAGCGAGGGCATCCTCTGCAGATTTCACCCATTTTGTCTGCCGACCTAAGAGTGAGAAGATAGCTGTGATGTAGGTGGTGGTGCTTGCCCGTAGGAAAGCTGATGATGAACCGAGAATAAGCACGCCGAGGTCTTGGGTCTAAACACCCTCTCTATGGCGGGCTGGCCAAGCACCTTGTGTGTCAGGGGCGAACGAACAGCCCAAAGCCTGAATTATGTTATTTGTCATGTTATTTCTGTGACTGAGAAGTTAATGGTGAATCTTGGGCATAAAGTTCAATCACCACCGATTTGCAGAAGACAAAAAGCAAATCAGACAGGTTTTTCCTGCGAGATGGAAAGACTAAATTTCAAAACGTCATAGAACCGACGTTATCTAGGTTTGCTATCAAATTAACTGATGAGCCATTTGGCCCTCCTACCCTGGCCCTGACGGTGGAGGTGGATGGTCGCCCACCTCTGGACCACTTCTCCAAGGACCTGACTATGGGAAATCAGTAAGTCAGAGCTCATTGGATTTAAAAGGTGATGATTTGAGATGGTGCATCTTGGAATTTACAAAACTAGTCGCCAAAGGCTAGCTGGAATGCTGCTCACTGGATGTTTTTTAACTACAGTTTTATTAAATCTTAAACAACACACACACACACACTGTATATATCCACATGTATTTATATCTGAATACGTTCATTCTGGCATATGAAAACTAGAATTTTAACATTGCAAATCCAGAAATCTGACAATAGCTTTTCTTATAAAAGAGATGCTTGCTTTTTTTTTTTCCTTTTCCAAAAAGGAAAAAATTTGAGAGGGACCGTTTTGTTGGTTTGTTTGTTTTTTTTTTTTTTTTTTTTTTTTTTTTGTAACAAACCTATGAATTTAGAGGTTTGTTTTGGTTTGGGTTTTTTGGAGGCAATTTAACCCAAACTGGCTTCAAACTTGCAGCAATTCTTCCTCAGACTCCCTAGTGCCAAAATCATAAGCATGAGTCACCGTGTTGGCCAATCGTATGGATTTTTCAAGAAGGTTTGATCCTGAGAGTGCTCTGTGAACATCCAGCACAGTGCTCAGGAAGGAGAGTCTGATTAACGGGTGTGCCCAGCTGGCTTCTGCAAGAAAGAGGGAGAGAGAAAGCAACCTCCCCATACCTCCCCCTGCTTCTGCTGGGGCTGCTCCTGTGAAACCCCTAGAACATAGAACCCAGGAAGAACAGAGACAGGTGGCCCCAGAAAAGTACTTCTAGGGTGCCATTCTTAACTCTCACTTCCATGAAACCAGGGACTTCAGTTAAGTCCACAATTTTGTAGTTGGCCCCGGGACCCCAGGAGTTTCCCGCATGGCCTCTGGGCGACTCTGGAATTAGCCTGTATAGTTGCTTGATCCCCACATGCTGCATGCTCCTGTCTCTGGAAACAATTCCCACAGCAATGTGGATTTACACAGTTGACCAAAATCAACTGTGAACCCAGAGTAGCCTTCATCCGAGATATCTTCACCGCTCTCCAGCTCCACCCTCCTTCTGCCTCCACTTGGCTCCTCGAAGCAGGATTCAGATGCTCAGCGCCAGGGGCAAATCTCCAAGGCAAAGGCAATCTACGTTCACCGATATTTTTCTTTTTAAGTAGAACTTAGCAAAGTAGTCGGGGTGGCAGGTTGGAATTGTAAGACTAGAGTATCTGAGACCCAGTGTGTCTTTCTCATATAGAAATAATTTCCAGGGTTCTGATAGGATCTGGCGTCTTTTCCCCTTTCCTCTCTAAGCCACGGTTTCAGAACAAGTTCCTGGGAGACTGTGGAGCCATTATACAGAATGCCTTGTCAATGTGAAATACTGTAGAAAGAAATTGGTACCATATGATAGCAAAGAACCATACGTGTGTTTCATTAATTTTTTAAGAGATCAGATATTTGATTTATTGCACTGCTTGTGAGTAAATATGAACTCATTTAAGATTGCTTCAAGACTTTTGCAGGGAGCCAAAAGGTTGAGATGCTAAGGTATGAATTTTATGAACTTCCATCTGTATGCCTGAAAGCGGCTGTCAGTTTAGCAGAATAGATTCAGGGAGGTACGTTTATGACTTGTTCCGTTTCAGTCTTTGAAGCTTGTTTTATTTAAAAATAAATTGACTAACCCTCAACATCACTGGTGCCTGTGAAGGACTGCTTTCAGTCACTTGTTCCCTTATTCCTTCCGTCCGTCCGTCCGTCCGTCGTCTAGGCTCAGAGATAGTCAAGGCTCAGAGATAGTGTCCTGGTGGGAGAGCAGACCCTTACCCGCCGCCGCCGCTATTTCCTATCTGACTAACCTTAGGCGAATTGTCTTTCAGATACAGTAAATGTAGTTGGTGGGTACAGTGTGTACCAGGGGATGCAATGATTTAGTAGCTGTGTGGACCTGAGAGCAGTGTCTGGCACCTAACAAGTGGCGCATAAAAATGATGTCACTACCACCACCCTCGCACTCTCCCCCATAACCCGTGCCCACACGCAGCATTCAGAGTTCTCCTTTGCTCTTTATTCCCCAGGACAGGCTTCTGCCCTGTGATCTCGCGAGTGGGAACACCG